ATGACACCATTTCCACCCTTTTTTTTCTTCCAACAAGTTTTAAACTTTATAAAGTATATTTAGTTTAAGAGAAATAAAATAATTAAACGGCACAGAATAGTAATTTTTTAATAAATTAAATTATATTATTAACAAATAATATAATTTAATTGATAAATAATTTATCTCTCATCTTATCTATTTTTTTTCAAACCAAATATATAAAAAAAAAGAATTATAAACAACACGAGCAGCCCTGACAACCAAGACTCTTGATAATACATCTCAAACCATGAATTTTAAAACCAATGCCTAATAATTAATGTAAAACTTGCCCATATACATTGAATTTTGACTCATTTGTATATTGAGAAATTAAGTCAAGATCGACACATAATTTCCTCAGTTGTACAAAAAAGAAAAAGGATCGACACATAATTACAAATCCAATGGTAAAAATTGATGGTGTTGTATTTAGTAATATATCTTACCAATAATAATATAATTATAATATCAAGTAAAATTATAAATTTATAAATGTTATGTATAATAAAATAGATAAATACATATAATATTATAAATAAATTATTAAATAAAAAAATTAATTATATTATTAAATATTATAATTATAATTTTATAACATCATATGATATTATAATTATATCATTTTGGATATTTTAACATGCCATTGAATTTGGAAATCAATAACTAATAACTCTGTAAGTTTAGACATATATAAATGTGTCTTGACTCCACATGTGTCTCTTTTTTTATCAGCCGACTCTACATTTATCTAACCCTTTAAAAGTTCAAACCTGGGGGTTTTGCTTTTTGGAGTAAAGGAGTTTTACAGGCATGAACAAATGGGCACGAAGAAATTAAGAGAAAAAGCAGGAAAGATATGAAAAAGGGAGGCATCTTTGAATGGAGTGCAGGTGAACCTTTCTTTTCATTGTTGTAATAATTGTGCCCTCATTTGGAGGAAAAACGCAAATTAACATCAGATCATATCACGGTATGAACAAGTGCCAAACAATTGCAAATTAAATTGATGTTACACCACCCCCCCCCCCCCCCCCCC